TGTGTGTGTAACGCGGAATGCTGGCCAATATGCATATTTTGTTTTCGCGCTGTGCGCCTATCTCGCAGAGATGGTCTTTTTACAAAAAACGAACGGCAAAAAGTGGCATAATAATAGCGGTGCTTCGTTCGGCCACTTGTTTTTTGCGCTTTTTTGTACACTGCGAACGCCTCCGAGCAACGGCTTTTTGGAAAATTTCGCACACCGCTGAATCAGGCTTCTGCTGCTGCTTACCCCCACCCGGAGATGCAATTGCACCAAGCGCAACCATTCTCTTCCAGAGATTGCTCGCCAAGCCCCAGACTTTACGATCTGCTCGGCTCGTGCCGGCGATCAAAATTCCTTCACCGATCGCTTTTTGAGTTCGGGTGCTATGGCGGGCATAGATGTGGGCTAGAAAATACCTCAGTGCTAGTGTATTTTTGCCTCAAAAATTCACCTTCTATTTTATTTAAATAAGACAACAGCATTCTTAAAAACTTCAGTTCGAAAATTTTTTAGAAAAAAAACTCTTAAAAAAATTTTTTAAAATTTCTCCTTTTATTTTTGCCATAAAAATTCGTCGTTTATTGTATTTAAATAAAGATATAGCATTTTTAAAAATTTCATTTCGAAATTTGACTTTTTTTAAAATTTTCCGTTTTAAAATTGCAGTCTGTCTGCGCTCTTTGTCTTTTTGAAAGTCTGGATATTTGAATTTTCCCTAAAATCATACATCCGCCTCCCGCAGCGTTAATCCTGGGCAAAAAATGTATATGTTTGGTGCAGCTGCAGATGCACTTCCCACTATTTCATTGGCTTTTCCGGAACTTGGCCGATTTCCTTCTCTTTTGATGTTAAGCATTTATTCTGTAGTGCCACTGAGCGTTTTTTTTTAAATATATTTTTTTTTTTTGTTTTTCTGAAATGAGGGGAAAACATGCATATGTATGCGCGTTAATTTTATTCGGATGAGCCTTTCGTATATGGGTTTTATGGCATACACCAGTGATTTAATAGGGACACACATTTTACTATTTTTTCACACTTTCTTGCGTAAATCGAAAATTTTCTTCAGGAGAGGTCATGTGAGGTGTGTATGTATATGTATGTAATATGTGGAAGTATATGTGTGTGTATGCATATGTATGTGTATGTATACGTATATGTATGTTGTATGTATATGTATTGTATGTATTGTATGTATGTGCATGTATATGTATATGTATGTATTGTACGTATATGTATGTATATGCATGTGTATGTTTATGTATGTATGTTTTAGTATATGTGTGTGCGTTTGTGTGTATGCTTGCCTATAACTGTACGTGAATCCCGCATTTCAAAATCTTATGGTTTGGAAACGTGGAAGCGAGGAAGAGGGGGAGAGGGGGGGAGGGGGGAGAAGGGGAAGAATTTTAGGAAAAATAGTGCCCGACCACAATCAAGGCCACAAACCTGAAAACGTTTTTCAAATTCCTCCGTTTTTGGCCCGCTGCCAACAGATGGATCAAATTTAAACTATTCCAAGGTGTATATTCAGACTGTTTTAATTTGAAAGCAAAAATGCTTTAAAAAACTGAAGATTTTAGAGATTTGGGAAAGATTTTTTCAGTTTATGCAGGATGATTATTATGGGCGCGGCACTTGAGCCTCACTGCACCCTCAGCTGTGCCCGCGGTTTCAAATGCGGGGTTACTGTCGTATTTTTTTTTTAGAACCATTTAACTCAGAAACTTGAGATTTTGGTGCATGAAAAATTTTATAAACTTTTTTAATTTTATAAGTTTTATAAACTTTAAAATAAATTTTAGAAAAGCTCAAAAAACTTTAAAAATAAACTTTAAAAAATTTGAAAATTTTATAAGCTTGAAAAAATTTTATTACTTTTGTCTTCCAACTTTAAAATATTTTTCCATTGTTGTTACAAAAGTGTTTGTAAACTTTTTTTTACAAAAGTTTTTGTAAAAGAGAGAGTTTTGAACTAAAATGGTCATCACTGACAGTTCCATCCTGCATCCCAGGCCAGCCTTGAGGAAATAACGGATTCGTTTGACGTTGTATTCACGTTCTCCGCTCTTCATACTATCCTATAACAAAATTTGGCTCATGAAAAATGCTTGTTTTCAGAGATGGTGCACTTTGATGACATCCAGAAAAGAACAGACCTGTCATAGTAGCACACATTCTATTGATGAACAGTGGAGGTATTGCAACAGCTTTGTCCGCAACAGCATTTCCGATTGTGGAGTCAAGAGTTGAGTAAGTCTTGCAATTCAACAGAAAAAAATTCACGATTTATAGGTAGTGAGCGTACAAGGCAGGTGTGAAGCAACAAACACCCACGTGGTTGCTTCAAGTTTAATGCAAAAATGCACAATCGCGCCCCCAGGCGATAAAGTTGAGTATTTCTCACGCCTCTCTGAAGGGAATTCCGCCTCCAAACAGAATTAAGACCGCACTTGAAAGTAGAATACCCCAGCGAATTTTCAGCCTCGCAGCTTATTCGGTGAGCGAAATATCCACTTCGCCCCTCGACCACGCTACTCACCTAAGGGGAATAAATACACCTATAGCAATTAAAGACACAGAGAAGGCTAATAATAACAACGACTTCATCTTTAAGGTGAATTAAAGGCAGTTTGGCCTCAACTTATATCGTGAAAGGGAAGCTAGTTTTGGCAATGACAAATTTTTAAGCACGAGTATCATTCGCCTTGTTTTTTAAACCC